TTGTTTGAAGTCTTTGCTGTTTCCTATTACTTGTATCGTATCATCTGCATATCTTAAATTGCTATTGTTCCTTCCTCCAATTTTCAAACATCCTTCCTTTAGATCTAATCTTGCTTTAAGTATGATACTTTCAGTTTATAAATTAAACAGATAGGGTGATAAATGCATCCTTGCCTGATGCCCTTGCCAATTGGAAATTACTCTGTTTCTCTATATTTCTGCCCTGATGATAGCTTCTTGTCCTGAATACAGGTTACACATCAGGATGATCAAATGTTGTGCCCAGTAGTTTCTTTAAGTAGTTTTTCATGATCTACACAATCATAGGTGTTGCTGTAATTTATAAATTACAGGATGATTTTAATTTGGAATTCTTTGGTGTGCTTCATTATCAAATAATATATGTTATCACTAGAATAGGGTCTGTCTCTATAGCTTGAAGCAGCTCTATTGGTATGCCATCTTCTGGTCCTTTATTTCTTCCAAGCACTCTGGGTGCACTTCATTTTTTAAAATTGTAAGTTCATCTTCAAATGGTTCTTCTTTGATTGAATATGTCATCTTTTCATCACTTTTATATAGCTCTTCAATATATTTTTCCATTATCTCTTTATTTGTACATGGTCATGTAATGTGTTCCTCTACTGGTCATGCAGCATCGGTTCGTGGTCTGTGCCACAGTCTGCTCCTGATCTTGTTTTTACAGACAGAATGAAACTTCTCCATCTTATATAGTCTATTTGATTTTTACATTAACTATCACTTCTTGGGTTGCTTGAAGAATGTGTTGCAATTAAGAAACTGTTATCCACACAAAATTCAGTCATTCTCCTGCTTCTTTTCTTAAAGCTAGCCCATTTTTTTCCTACAATCTTGGATTCTGCTCTGTTTCCCACTTTTGCATTCCAGTCATCTATAATTAACATTTACTGTTTTGATGTGTGATCAATTTCCTTCTGAACTCCATCCCAGAACCTTTCGATTTCTTCATCTTCTTTCTCTGTAGTTGGGGCATAAACTTGGCCAGGGAACTTTTCTCCAGCACCACATTTCAAATGAGTTAATTCTCTTCCTGTCAGCTTCCTTCACTGTCCAGCTGTCACAGCCATACATAGAAATCAGAAATACTATGATCTGGATGATTTTGACTTTGGTATTTAGAAATATGTCTTTACATTTCAAAAATATGTCTTTACACTACTAGAGTATCTATTTTGGTTAATGACTGGGTCAAGGTATAGGAAATCTTTAATTCACTGTCTCCAATACCCCCTTTAAAGTTATGCAAATGACCTGTAGCAATTATTTGGCTTTCTTAATTTATAACTGTAATCTTACTTTTTCACTTTCCTTCATTAGTTTTCCTCAATAGTCATTGTAAGTCTTTGCTATTTTCTGCAAATAATATGGTGTCATTTGCATCTTAATCTGTTGATGTTCCTTTCCCAAATGTTCACACCTGCTTCATCTGAGTTTCATCCTGCTTTCCATATTATTAGTTTTGTATATAAATTAAACAGATATGGTGATAAAATGCAGACTTATCTGACACACACACCCTTGCTAATGGGAAACTATTCTCTTTCTCCATATTGGGTTTTGACAGTGGCCTCTTGTCCAGAGTAAAGGTTATACATCAGGACAATTAGATATTGTAGTAATTCTGTTTATGGTCAGCAAATTGTGGAGGGCTTTTGCTTTCGTTTTCCAGAAATACACCTGTGTGTTTTACATCTGAATCACATTAACTGATACTGGGGTAGCCAAGTTGCCCATAAAACTAATTCCAAAGTCCATGTTAGGGTAATATGAGGCCATCCAAAAAGGCACAAAAATCTCAATGTGCTAACTTTCAAGTTGAATTTTCTCATCAGGCACCATAAAACAAGTAGGAGTTAGGGTTAGACAGAATGATGATCAGAGTCACATAGTCTCAATGTTGTCTTGAGATAGCATGAAAGATGAGTATTGTAGAATTTCAGCTTAAGTTGTTGCAGGCAGCACCTCACAGGGCCCTGGGTTTGCTAGGATCAAGTATAGCAATAAAAGCAGAGCCATAAGATTATGTCAAGGCATCATAAATTGGGTTCTTTATGTTGGGAGGGAGGAGTGAATTCCCCTGGTATCCTCCATATTGTTGGTTTAACTCAGATGTTGTAATCTGAAGAGGAGGGAAATGTCAGGGAAGCAGTTAAATGTACCCCCCCACACACACTTCTCCATCGCTACTTCTCTGCCACACATTGTCACATTTAAAACATGCACATTAGAGTTTCATTTGCTTTTGGTCTGATGTAAGAGACTCACCATAGCCCAACTATCTCTTTCTTGAAAAGTCATAGCCAGTTCAGTGCTTATAGGATTACAATTTGTTACCCCAATATACATTTACACTGAATCACATTTCTTATTTTCTTATCCAGTCTGTCGCTTTGTATGTTAAACAATATGTTGTAGGTTTGGTTACCCCTGTTATCAAGTCACACTTTCTTCTTACCATGTACCTGTACTATCTAAAAGCAATCCCACCTTCAGTTCGCTCTCCCGAAGTAAGTTGGGAAGCTTACCAACCTCGACACAGAACCTTACTTTGCTCCTCTGTAATGCCAGGTTGGTAAAAAATAAAACTCATATCATCCACAACCTTCTCATGGATGAAGAAGCTGATCTGGCCTGTTTTACAGAAACCTGGCTAGGGGAAGATAGTGCCATCACTTGGAATCAAGCTCTCCTAGCTGGGTATTCTGTTTATGAGCAGGTAAGGGAAAGTGGGCGGGGGTGGTGGTGGAGCGGATCTGATTCATAGAGATAACCTCACCTTGACTAGGATACCTTTCTGGAAAACAGACCTCTTTGAATGTATATATCTAAGCCTGAAAACCAGGGATAGTATAGGGATTCTGTTAGTACACTGTCCACCCCGTTGCTTAACAGACTCCCTATCCTAGCTGGCACAGCTGCTCTCAGAGTGGCTGTTATAGTTACCCAGACTTTTAGTTCTGGGTGTCTTCAACATCTCACTCAAGACCAGTTTAACAGGTGCGACTCAGCAGTTTGTGGATTCCATGACAGGCATGGGCCTATTCCAATTGGTTTCCAGGCCAATACATTCTGTGGGTCATACTCTCGATACAGTCTTTAGTACAGAACAGGCATATCCGTGGGTGGAAGTAATAAATACCACTGTACTGTCATGGACTGATCATTTCCTGGTCAAGATTGGACTAAGAGCCACAGTCCACCCCACTGGGGGTTCAGGACCTATTAGAATGGTCTGCCCTCAGAGGCTAATGGAGCCAACTGGACTCCAGAAAGCTTTGGAGGGTTCCTTGGTTGGCAATGCTGACTATTCTATTGAAGTCCTGGTTAATACCTGGAACATCGATCTTACCAGGGCTATCGACACGATCGCTTCCAAGCATCCTTTCTAACCGGGTCCAAGTCGTCAACCCTGGTTCACAGATGAACTTAGAAGGATGAAGCAGATTGGACAATAACTAGAGAACACCTGGTGGAAAACTTGACTTTTATCTGACAAGACTCATCATAGGAAACTTCTTCATTCCTATCGAGAGGCAGTACATGCAGTGCCAAAATCTTTCTCCTCTGCATGTATTGCATCTGCAGAATCCTGTCCAAGAGAACTATTTAGGATGGTAAGGGAGCTGACACAGGTTCCCCCTGTGCAAAACCCTTTACTTAACCCAACAACAGCCTGTTGTGACTTTTTAACAACTATTTTGCAGATAAAATCTCTCAGATAAGAGCCAACTTGGATGTAGGGATACAGCAGAATTGACTGATGAGGTGTCCAGTAAACCTGTTTTTGAGATTAAACTGGATTGGTTCAAACCGGTGACTACCGATGATGTGGATAAGATCCTTGGAAAAGTGAATCCTCAATCCCTGCCCATCCTGGCTGGTTGTCCAGGGAGCGATGCCTTGATGGCTTTTTTTAAAAAGGTCATCAGTGCATCCCTTAGGGAAGGAATTGTTCCAACATGTTTAAAGGCAGTGGTTGTTAGACCGCTCCTGAAGAAACCTTCCCTAAACCCCCTGGATCTGAAAAATTATATTTATATTGTTTGGGAAGGAACCATGTTTTTACAACATATGCAGTTTCTCATCTACCATTTTTGAGCAAGGTGATCGAGAGAGCTGTCGCCTTTTAACTTCAATTGATTTTGGATGAAACTGATTTTCTAGATCCACTTCAAACCAGCTTCATACTGGGATATGGGGTGGAGACTGCCATGGTTACTCTGGCAGATGACCTGTGCCTAAGCATTGACAGAGGAAGCATGACCCAGTTCAGGGGTAGGCAACCTTTCCCCTTTAAGGGCCGAGGGACTTCAGCTCCCAGAATCCCAGGAGCTATTGGCTAACATGGGACTATTGGCCAACATGGCTGAGACTTCTGGGAGCTGAAGTCCCTTGTCCCTTAAAGGGGACAGGTTGCCTACCCCTGACCCAGTTGGTGCTTTTGGACCTCTCAGCAGTTTTTCATATAATAGACCAGGGGTAGGCAACCTGTCTCCTTTAAGGGCCAAGGGACTTCAGCTCCCAGAAGTCTCAGCCATGTTGGCCAATAGTCCCATGTTGGCCAATAGCTCCTGGGAGCTGAAATCCCTCAGCCCTTAAAGGGGACAGGTTGCCTACCACTGTGATAGACCATGACATCCTCTTGGAACGCCTGAGAGCAGGGGTAGGCAACCTTTTCTCTTTAAGGGCCGAGGAACTTCTGTTGTAGTACTATATTCCACTTTATAGTGCTATATTCCACTTTAACTGAGATGTCAACTGTCAGGGATGATGGGAGTTGTAGCTCTTCACCTCTGGCTCTAA